GGGGGCCGGGGACGGCGGGCACGGGGGTTCCGGCACGGTAAATGCGCTCCGGGCACGCGGCCCGGCACGGGCCCGGCACGCGGCACGGCACTCGGCACGGGCCCCCGGGCACGGGCCGGGCACGGGCCACGCGGCCCGGCACGGGCCCGGCACTCGGCACGGGCCCCGGGCACGGGCCGGGCACGGGCCGGGGAGGCCCGGCACGGGCCCGGCACGGGGCCCCGGGCACGGCCCGGCGGGCACGGCCCGGGCACGGGCCGGGGACGTGGCCGGGGACCGCGGCACGCACCGTCGCGCAGGGGCCCCTAGAAGAAGCACCAGAAGAGGGTGCTGAATCGTCCGGACCCGGGTCTACAATAGTAATAGGATGGAATGGCTTTCGTAATCCCCGCTGATTCTTCAAGCAGTGGGCGCGTAATCCTTCGTGACGGATTGTTGCGTTGCGACGAGCGAGCCGAGGTCAGCGTTGGACCGCCGAAGCAAGTTGGAGCAGATTACAGAGAGGCAATAACACATGGCTACTTCGAAATTGCACATTTCGAATGTGATCAAGAGGATTCCTTTGACGAAATTCAAACACTACAGCGTCAGCTGGTGAAACAGCGGGCATCACTTAGGGTGGCAACATCCCGTGTACTAAAGGCCCGTGCTGAATTGGCTGCAGCGGACATGGATGTTTTCCGTGCAACCGCTGAAGAGGTACGCGAGAATGGCGAGCTCGCGGACTTGAAGGCTCGACTCATGGGGATGCGAGGTGCAGTCGATGAGCTGCACTACGCCGATACTACTTTGATAATCCAGGAATTGATCAACACTAAGACCAGACTAGCTGAGGCTACGGAACGAAGGGACCAGAAATGTCTTGACAAGAAGCGGATTGAAGGACGGCTTGCCAAGGTCAAGTATGATCTTGCCATGATTCTGGCAGTATGGGCCTGAGTACCACGCCTCGGCTGTCATCCGACCTCAAGTTGCGTAGGCAAACGATGATGATAGCACCAGTCTCCAGGTAGTTCAGCATGACCACGATCAGCTTGAGAACCAGCTCCGAAGATTCAACAGAGGGGGGCGTAAATGAAATGAGCAGCATGCACTGCAGTCTTGCCAGTATCACTGGCTACCATCAGCGCTAGCCTCCGACATGCCTTGATCAAGGGGGACAACAGCAGGATGGTCTGCAGCAAAGACCACGTCGTTCGTGAGAATCGACCACTTCATCCAATCAGTCGATAGACAGGACGCTGCCTATTGTCTACATGCTGCTTGTAGTCTTTCCTGCATGACTCACTCTCAAAGACGAGACTGCCAATGTCCCTGCCTCGTGTGAGTCCGGTACTCGGTGGGCTATTCACCCTAGCCAGCCGCTGAGCCTATCCAAAGTGATAAAACCGCTCCAGAGTCCAGTGTGATTGAAGCACAACCAGCACATGAAACCCGACTTCTGGTCCCTCGATAGCCGGGTGCCCTTGACCGGGGCTCTTGAGCATCAAAATCCGCGGCGGAGACCGCCTTTGGGACCGCCCGCGGACCGCCCGCGGACCGCCCGTGGGACCGCTGGAGCGAGCTCCGCGGGGCCACGCGGCGCCGCCGACGGAGCAGCGCGGCGGCCTTTGGCCGGCGGGGAGGCGGCGGTTCCCGCGGCGGTCCCGCGGCGGTCGCGGCGGTCCTGCGTGCTAGGTGTTAGAATCCGAGTATGCTAGTATGAAGCACCAGCATAGTATAGCATGAGCATAGCCAATATAAGGCAGACTTAGCATAGCCAGCATAGGCCAGTATGAGCGTCCCAGCATAGGGAGGATAGCATAGTCCCGAGTTAGGGTAGCATGGCCCAAAGAGCGGAATGTAGTCTCCCTAGGTAGCTGGCTTATCGCCAAGCGCACTTTGATTCTGCTTAATCACACTCGCGTTCTGACCTCGATAGTCGCCGTTTTTCATGGTAGCAGGTGCACTGTGATCGCAACCAAAACCGAAATACACACGGGCGACACTCGCACTACACGCACGAAACGCGCACGCGAATTTACAAACAAACCCCGCGAAGAACAAGGCCCCCAACGTCGAGCATGGCCGATATAAGAGGAGCCTGGTACGATGGTAGCTTCAGAATTCCACCAGGGGGAGTAGCATACCCCAGTAGACCGGGCGGTGATACCAGACTGAGCCAATTTCCGACTCTGGGCGGCGACGACTCCACCATTAGACAGCGATTTCCATCACAGCACAGCAACCTGATATTAGCACATTATGGAATGACAAGTGATAAACGGCGACTATCGAGGTCAGAACGCGAGTGTGATTAAGCACAATCAAAGTGCGCTTGGCGATAAGCCAGCTACCTAGGGAGTGCGTATAGCTGCGTCCCGTACTGTAATAGACGGAGAGTCTTCCTGGACCTAGTGAGGCAGATCCTCTGCCCGTTCGTCCAGTAGCCCCAGCCCCCGTATACTACGGCAGCTGATTCGGCTGTGCGCGAAGAAGTAGAGAGTGCGCGCCATGGTCCAAAAACCATGACCAGCAGACCATGCAAACGACGATATCGACACCGATGTCGATTTCGAGCGGCTGTATCTGGGCCGAAATGCGATATTTCGCATTTCAGGCGAAGCGCTGATTGGCTACGCAATGGTTCCAGCGCTTCTCGCCGCTGGAGGCGGCCAGGACCGTCCCCCGCGGGCGCGCCCCCGCGCCACCCACGTCCCAGGGGGGCCTGGGACACGTCCGGCCAGGCGCCGGGGCCGAAGACGTCAACCCTGAATTAACCGGAGTTTGCAGGGGGAGTCGACCGCGACCCTAGCGGGGGGGAATTGACTGTCCGAAATCGCGATCCCCGGCGAGTCCGAGCAGGCCCTCTTCAAATGGCTGGCTCCCTCAATGTGCCGCGCGCTGGCTATCGCAGAGCCCGTCCCTGGCTAAAAAGAAAGATCTGGGCGGCCGTTTGAATGAAGGCGCGACAAATGCGTCGGGACAGCGGCCGCTTAGCCGCCGCAGACATCAGCAACGCCACTACATCATTAATGTCGAACAACGACAAGTTGCCTCCAGCGAATATCTTAGCAAGACACGTGCAATCTGGGCTCGAAAACACGGCGAGCGCCGAGGCGGTGGTCAAATTGGTCGCGGTGTTGAATGGCCTCGCGCGTCACGAGGATAATAAGAGGTATGACCAATGGATATACCAGGCGATTGTTCGCGCCGTCGATGTCCCGCCTGCGCACATCAGCGCATTGGAACTGGCAGATGCGCTTGAAGCACGCCTCACCCGTCGCGAAGGTGGAGAGTCTTGGCCAGCGGCCGCTCTGGTTGCTGGTGCGTGCGTAAATGCAGCGCGGATTGAGTTTACCTGTCTTGTCACAGCACCCTGTCTACGGGGGGGGCAAGCACTGGTGCTGAGAGGTGTTAGGGGTGTTGCTGCGATTGAGTCTCTGGTCAGGGCACTGAAATCTGGTAATGGCTCATACAAGTCCATCTCGCCGAGCAAATACGCCGACTCTCTGCGTGCGACGCTTCGCAGGGGTGCGTCTGCCCTTGAGTCGGTATCGCCACTACTTGCTAATGCGGCCTGGGCTTGCCGGCATGTGGCGCTTGAGGCCTTCATGGCAGTCAAACCAGATGATAGAGACAACACAGCAATCGAGGCGCTCCGTGGACTCGAAGCGCACAAGAAGGCAGCGCCGACAGCAATGAGAGCCCGTGCCAGGTGGTTTGCATTGCTTGAGACCGAGCTAAAGCCATGGCAAGCAGCACCATCCATCGTTGTTGAATGGTACTTGAGGCACGCCTCAGCATTGGACTCGGTACATGATTACGATGGCGCTTTTGCCATGCGGCGAAAGGGCCGCGGCTACCTCGGTTGCAAAGATCTACTCTTTCACGGCCTCCTTTTCTGTGGTGATTTTGAGCGTAAAGCGAATCCTGTGATGGCGTTAGCGGAAGCAGCGCGATGCTTGCATGCCTCATTCAATGGCAACGCAGCACAACAATATGATGCTCCCATGCGGCGGCGTGCTTGGGCGGCACTTGCACATGCACCCGCGGCACTAAGGCGATATCATCAAGCGCCTAGGGACACAGATAGAACTGCTGAGCTTGTGCTCCTTGCTCTCGGAGACGCAGCTGCCGTTTGTGAAAGGCGTGATGGTGCTGATACCCGACGCGCTGATGCTCAACGGGCTGACGCATACTGGCATGCAGCCGTACTTGCTGCAAAACGGGCTGAAATTTCTGTGGCCATAGCGCGGTGCGATATTGCTGCGGAAACGTCTTTGCGATCCCGCACCGTCATTGGCCTCGCCGCGGTCGCTATTGCTAGCTTGTGTCAAGCAGCAGATGCACGCGAATTACGCAATGTCAACACACTGTTCCAGCGTGCCATCGCGTTACCAGAGAGTAGTGCAGCGGCTTGGACCGCTTTGTCAGATTGTCTTGACCGCCTTGGGCGGAGTGTAGATGCAGCGGCGGCTGCAGCGGCGGCCGCATGCCGCTGCGAGGATATTCCTGCAATCCAAGCAGCAGTTGAACGCTTTTCACGTTCTGTTGCGCGTTTGGGCAATTCCGCACCTTCTTTACTTGCTGCGCTTAGGCTAAGCGGTGGGCCCCTTGCCAGTTTAGTGCTGCAAGAACGGTTTCGCATCTGCCAGGCCGGGGAGAGTGGCGCGGCACTTGTCACCGCTGCAGAAGAACTGGCGTGCTGGGACGCTCTGCATGCAGCAAGGGCGTTGTCATGTGCCAGTATTGCCATTCTCCAGTATGGGAGGCGCCAAGCGGGTCTCGCGCTCGCGCAACGCAGCCTAAAAGCCGTGATAAGCTGCAAACCCGTAGCCACCGCATTGGCGAGTTGCACTTTGGTCGTCGCAACATCACGTAGTACGTTTGCAGATGATGATGACATTGGACAAAACAATGGGGACTCGGCTCTTACATCTCTTATGCACCTTTCTGATCTGCCCCGTTCAGATATTACATCTCTCGCATCAGCAGTCGTGGCTCTAGGCCACATGTTTGCTGCCAATGGCAATTTTGTGAGCGAGGCATTGTCAAACGGCAGGCTTGCAGTTATGGCCTCACAAATGCACCGTGCGGCAACAACTGCAACTGCAGTTGTCGTTGCGGGCGTTGGATTTTCCCGCCTGGCGCAGAGCATGAGTTACTGCCTTGAAATCAGCTTCGCTGGCATCTCGATGCAAGACAGGTGCCGTGACGTGAGTACCATCGAGGCTCGACATTCAGGGATTCTAGCGCATGGTATGCTCAAAAGTTTTGACGGTGGTAAATATCTCGCCACAGCTCTCGATGAAGCACGTGCCGCTTGTTTCCCTCGCGCTGAACTGGAGGCCTGTTTGACTTGTTTTGACAAGCGATCAATCTGCGGTAACAACGGGCGTTGTGAAGACGCCGCTCGAACACGCGAGGCTGTTCTCACACTTCGACCACACTGTGGACGAGCTGTACTCCTCAAGGACTCTGCATTATCCAGGGATGATGCAAAGAGCGTCCTCTGGCTCCAACTTGCTGAAATTTGGCTCGCCCGTGGCTGTGGCTCGCGCGCAGAAAGATATGTTTCTCGTGCACTGGGCTGCGAGCCTGGAGTAGTGTGCGGTCAGATTGACTTTGCGAAGTCCCTGCGTCTCCGGATTGCAACTCGGGCACGTGACTGGCTCCAAGCAGCGGCGGTCCTAAAAACCACTGATACACGACACGAAACGATTCCTGTGCGCATCCACCGTATAGGTCACGCACTTGATGTCGGTGATCTACTGAGGCGCCAGGGCAATCTTAAAGGTGCAGAGGCCTCCTACTTGGACGCCAACGACGCACTGATTCTCACCAATGATGGTAACGCTGAAACAATGGTGAGTCGTCTCAAGGTGCCGCTGTCTGGGGACCACATGCACAGTGCAGTCTTCTCGCGTCATACCCGACGGGCGCTGTTGTGTGGAGCACGTATCGTCGATATTTGCGGCGATAGACAATGCGCAGTCACTGCTTATCGAACTGCTCTTCTCAGCCCACCCTCAAACAAAATAGATGGAGCTTACCTTTGTTACCGCCTCGGCTGCCGGCTCCTTCATCGTGCATCACAAAACGACGCAGTCATCATATCAGAGGCCCTGAATCTATTGCGGTGCGCGTATCTCACCGCACGACGTTCATGCCACCGGAAGCTGGCCACAAATAGCGCGCGAGTCTTTGCTGTTGCGATTCTCACCGCCGTACCTGGCGCATTTTCTTCCCCTCTTGTTGCACTGCTTGTACATGCATCGCTTGGACGCGCACGCCTTGCCACCGAGGCGAGTGATGACCCCGATGGTGCCTTGAGCGCTGCGGCAGCCCAAGTTTATGAGCTACTTGACATACTCCTTGCTGGAGACATAGAATGTCTGAGTTGGTGTGAGCACCTCAAAGCGAATGAATGTCGCGGCACCATTAAACTTGACCAGCTCCTCGCCCCACTCCCTCGGACCTACGTCACTGTGGCAACTGTCATTGCGCCAACAGGACACATAGTCGTTGCTCGCCTGCAGCACGGCCGGCCACCGTTGACGCTGTGCAGATTGCTCCCGCCGCTGTGGTACGTCTCGCATGGCCATCGCACCACAGTTGGAGTGTGCCAAGAAGCCCTCTGCGCTTCGTCGTTGGGTCTTCGCACAGGCAATCCACCGGCACATAGTGAGAAGCAATCCGCCAACACTACCTTTCAAGATGAGATGAACAATCTGGATGAACTCGGCAGGCCTGTAGCGACAAGTAGTATGAATGCAGCCAAGTGTAAGGCCTGGTGGCGTCAGCGTCACGCTCTGGACACTCTTCTGGAGGGTGGTCTTGGTGAGTTCGAAGAGACCTGGCTTGGTCCTCTGCGCGCTCTCTTAGTAACAGCATCTGTGCCGACATGCAGCTATCCAAAAATCATGGACGATGAGCGGACCCGGAAACCGCTCCAAGAGCTAATGCGACTCTGTGTCAATGTAGAGCCTCGTATGAGCAATGCTGATGTCAACGCCCTGCTCCGTGCTACCGCAGGCATCTTTGACGCAAAATCTGCGGCTGTACCCCTGTCGATGCTCGAGCTCAGGGAGGGGTTGGCTGCAGCTCAGTTGTCAGCTGTCTCAACCCTGAAGGCTGCGGAACTCACGGTCATACTTGGTGGTTTGAGGATAAGTACGGTTGGACTCAAAAAGCAGTTGGTGGGCCGCCTCTCCGCAGCACTCCAAGGTGCCGCCACTAGTGCCAAAATCTCAAAGTTCAATGAGACTTGTGGTGTTGCGGCGACTGTCAAGCGCCAGCCTTTGATCCTGGCTCTTGATGAACGGCTTCAACGTCTGCCAATTGAGGATCTAGCAGTGCTGCGTGTCATACCAACGTCGCGCGTACCCTCGATTGCATTAGTGCTTGCACTCGCAGCACGAATGCACTTCAGCGCACAGCGTGTCGGCTGTTATGGCCCATCACGGATTTGTTGTGTCGTTGACCCCGAGGCAAACCTGCCAACAACACGTAAAACATTGAATGGCTTTCTTGATAGTGTCCAGCAACACAGGAATGTCATTTGGGTTCGGATTGCGACGGAAAGAAGTTTATCTAGTGCAAATATTGCGGCCCAACTTGCCAACGAACTGCGAGACTGTGCCATCTATCTCTTCTGTGGACATGGTCACGGCGCTGTCTACCTGAACTGCGCCCTCGAGTCTAGAAGATTCGTACCCACATCACTTCTCATGGGTTGCTCTTCTGGTACCCTCTCCAGTGAGGGCGACTTTGAGCCAAGAGGGATCCCACTCGAACTAATCGCCAGAGGCGCTCCGACAGTCGTCGCTATGCTATGGGATGTCACCGACCGCGATATTGACCGTGTCACACTCAATCTACTTGATTCCATTGGTAGTCACGTGACTAGATCTTTTCCCGAGCTCCTCAATGATGCGCGGGCAAAGACAAAGCTCCGTAAACTAAACGGTGCCGCGCCTGTTTGTTACGGCCTTCCTGTATCTCTTTCTGATATTGAGTGCGCGCATGCTCTATCATTACTTCGTGGGTGAAAGTCGATCCAAGCCACACATCAAGGGGCGGTCAGGGACGATGGAAACTCAACAAACAGGGCAGATCCATGGCAACCCGGACGTGATGATTCTTCAAGTTTTGACCGGATGACTCTTCCAAGGCTAGCTTAAGCGCCACGGTTGCCGCTATCTCTGTTCATTGGGTTTACGGTTGTGGCTCTAAGGTACTTCACCCCCAGCCCTGACTCTAGGACTAGGATATGGTAATAACTAGGCAGACTACCTACTTTGGCCCGGGGGCTACTGGGATCGGAGGCTTTCCACCTCCAGCCGCTTGAGTGCCAGTGGGCTAAGCGAGTAAGAAATCTTGAAAAGAGGAGCAACGTCACTTAAGCTGGATATATATCCACCGTCGCTCGCTGTAGATAAAATAAGGACACTACTAGTCGCCTGCGAGAAGCCTCCAGTCGCTCATCTCGCGCGGTCAGCATAGCCATGGTGACTGGAGCACTCAACTCCTTGTCATTCGTGAACACGAAAATCACCCACGACTGGGTCAGGTGCTTGCGCCTCGTCACAAATCGAAAACTCGAAGCCCGTATCCGCCGCCCGGCTCTCAACACACAGGCGTAAAAAATAGTACCCCAGCCTGATGTTTGAATTACTACCAAGATAGTTCTCCCGCACCAACTGGTGCACCGCCTGACCGACGTACTCCACCTGCTCCCCCTGCGAAAACTGATTCACCTCCAGGGGCCTGCCCCCCCTAAATATCGCGTTAGCTAGGGGCAACAGCCCCGTCACGGTAGCGAAGGTCGAGGGGTTGGGGATTTTATCCCTGAAGCCCGGGGCCGTCGCGAGCACCGCCCTCAGCGCCTCCCGCACTGGCAAGGTCTCCGCCTGTTCACTGAACGGGCGACCCCTCAACTCCTCCGGGATCGGACTGGTCCTGACCATGGCTGCCGCCTCCCGGATCTACACTATGCCCCCCCCTCCAGAAAGAATTCCGCCGGCGGGCTGCTTCAGCAACGCCGGCCAGATAGGAGCATAAGGAGCGAGTATCGACTGGGCTGCAATGATGAATAGCAGCTCATTCTCTCTCTCTCTCCTTTGGGCGCTACTTTCCTGGCTAATCGAAGATTACCTGTGTACACCTTTGACTTGCGGATATTTTGCAGCTTAACTGAGAGCTATAATGTCTGCTAAAGAGGTACGGCTGCGACATGCTAAGCGTTTGGCCAGGTTTGCCAGGAACAGCACATCGCGTGATTCGAGAGTAGCATTGCATCTTGGGAGTAAACTAAGGCACTCCTCGCTACCAGGCTGCCAACGATCAGCTCGTTTAGTCGCGGGTAGGGACGCGGCTGTATATTCAGTAAAACTTGAGCGATGTCGATCTCTTGCAATAGCCTTCAAAACGGCCGTGCCGCGAATCGAAAAGGCTTGTTCTACCTGGTGTGACGTGAAGCGTGCTGACGAAGCTGCCCTTCTCAACGCCGCCATAGCAGAGATAGAATTATGTCTTGGTCAAAGTTTTGGTGGCGGAAATTGTGGTATATACGTTGGCTTACTGAATCCTGGAGCAAAAACCTTGACTTACGTAGCCACGAGCTCACATAGCCCAGTGAAAGAACAAAGACTAAAAGCCGATGCAGGTGTACTTTCTCGATGTATCACAAAAGGTGAAACAGTCACCGTCGAAAATATTGAGATAAGCAAGGAAAGCGATCTGAAATTATTCGGAAGTCCAGACGGAAATTATCCATTCATTTGCACTCCACTGCGTGCCGAAACTGGACGCCCTCTAGGCATCCTCGCAGTAGATGGCTTCTGTTCCAATGCCATGCCACTTGATGCAATGACAGCCCCCCAGTCTATTTCCTCGGGGATGAGGACAAGCGCTGCTGATTTTCACATTCGACTTGCACCCTTTCTTGCTAAGAATGATGACGCATGCAAGAGAATTAAATTTTGGAAATTACAAAATGATAACAAGAATGAAAATGTTTATGAAAATAGTATCAATAGGGTTGCCGCGTGCGTTATTTGTGGGCATGTATACAACGTCGATAGGTCCAAGGGTGTCGGAATGGTTTACAGCATACGGTGGGAAGATGGCAAATGCGAGACAGAGATCTCTTTTCGGGCCCTGAAAGAAAGGCTCCGAGCTACACCCGCCGGTCTTGGTGTCGGTGTGCCGTGTGATACAGCTCTGCAGGGTTTTTTGGAATACGCAGGAAAGATAATTGGTGATCGTCTGTTTCGGTGAGTCTGGGGGGTGCTAAGAGAACGAAGAAAAAAAGAATTTGCTCAGGCTCCGGCTGATAATGCACGTCGACAAAATCCTCCGTGTCCCAGAGATTTCAAACAGTACAACGAATGAACTCTACCAACAAAGTCTGCGATCATCCATGACTTGCATGTTGAGTGCACGTGTTGCTGAAATCTGGGAGTACGACCAAAATTACTCCATAAATGTTGTGGCTCGCCTGGGACTAAAGTTCAAGTTTCAGAAACTGTGCACTCCGCGTCGACTTCTTGAGATCCCTATGCACAGACGATATCTTTTCTGGGAGCACGTCAGGACCCAAGCGAGCTTCCCGATGCCACACGCAAACGAAATTATCGTCGCACCATTCGGATGTCATCAATCAGACGTGAGTTCAAGGCACCTCTTGGTAGTTACGTGCGCACCGGGTGAAGTCGATTCGAAAGATGTTATATGTCTGCGAGAGATGAGCATCGCACTTGCTGCGGCAACCCAGCGCATGCGTTTTAGAGAGATGCGAGCAAGTGCTCGAAAACAAACACTGCAACATGCGAGCTTGCTTTGCGACAACCATCTGGCGTCAGCATCTGCTCTGAAATCCGGAGCTATGACACTAATTAAACATTGCTTTCCATCGTCTAATGTCTATCTAGGATTCTTACAAGCTGGTGGCGATAATATCAGAATCCAAAGTCAAAGCGAATGCCGTTCACACCACAGTCTCATATTTAAATGTCTTCCGCCGACGTCTTTGGGGAATATAGTTATTTCGGATCCAGCCAAGCACAAGCCAAAATTATTTCAGTGTGACACGAGGGTACAGGTACAATACGGGAAACTCTGGTATGCTGCTACAATACAGAAAGATAGGGGACACCTCAAATATGACATAACATATGACCTAAAGGACTGGATGGGGCGGCATGAACTGGAAGCGGGAGTTCCCGTCGCGCGTCTGCAGCATGCACCAACAGAATGCCCACGGGCGATTTCAGGCGCCGTGGCGACAATCATACAAACCGATGATGACCCCTGGCCCATCTTGATAGCCCCCATTGGTCAGCACTTGGGAATCATTTGTGTCGATTCATGGTCAAAGAAAAACCCAGAGGCTGATCATGATGAGCTCAAGGTAGTAAAGCTCCTAGAATCGATTAGTTGGCAAATGGGCTTGGCACTGCATGAAAAAAAATGCGTTCGCGCTTTGCGATTCATGAGAAGTATTACTAGCAGCAAGAACCTTACGTCTCCTGCGGACATCAAGGCGGCGGCCGTAGCGCAGCTGAAAGAGTGTTCCATTTTTGCAAATCACGTTCTTTTGGTGAAGGCAAGTACAACACATTCACCAGGTACAACACATTCCAATGGCCTGGATCGTGGAACAGAGGGGGACATGCTTAACCGTCGCCGCAAGATACTGGCTAGCGAAAGTTGCCCTGGTGCAAATTTTCTTGTTCAGGCCAGTCATCCATCTATTCGGTTTTTGTCTGTTTTTGAAGACTGTGAGGTATTATTGAGTGAAACTGGCGCTCCTACACTGATCAGACCAAAGCTGTCGTTATCCTGCTCGTTCAGGTCGGAGTCTCTCTGCGTTCCCTGCGTTACTCTCCAGTCACAGGTTCAAGCACAACGCCGCTACTTGGAGAGACATGGCATTTAGCACGAAGATGACCGAAATTGCGCAGCGATCTTTGAGCAGTGTGGCGGTCTTTGCGTGTCTTTCTCTGATTAGAGCTGACACTTTGAATGCGCTTGAAGATCTATGCGCCAGAGACAACGCTCAACTGCGGAGTACGTTGCGACAAGCGACCGAATTGATTTCGAAGTTGGTTGCATCAATGGACGTATACGTTGGATATGCATTGCCAGGAGATGGCAGCATCTGTGTTTTGTGCTCCTCACCAAAGATCAACACGATCCATTCACAGCTTTTGGAACGAGAAGACGAACACGTTGTAGTGCGCTGTACGATAACATCTCAGACTTGTGTAGATACACGGACCGCGGACGGTCCTCGTTGGATTTGCCTGCCCATTTCGCTGTCCGATCGAGTCGCACGTGGCGTCCTGCTCGTCGATTGCGGTTCAAATGTTGGTTCTCGCCGGCCCAAACAAACACTAATCAATTCCGAAATCATTGATTTTCTCGAATCAGCAGCAACTCTTCTTGGAACCACTATCGATCTGCGGTGCAAAGAGGAGGAAGGGTCTACCCTTGATCATTTACACGATAATCATAACAAATTGGGTCAGGGCCCAGTCTCGACCAGGAGCATATATAGAGCGTCTCTAGGTGCACTTTATCGCCAGCTAATTTCGACGTGTCGCATCTCCATATGGCAGTTACGACCGAAGCATATTGATCAGTCCCATTCGGCTTCTGGGCGTCTGTCCCTGTTCATTAAACTTGAAAGGGTCCAAAACATTTCTGTGTCTGCTACTCCCATCACAGCTGTTGTTTACCTTGATGGAGTTCAGGCAGGTCGTACGTGCACGCAACCAACGGACAGCAGGTCCAATGGAAGTTTGGAATTTACATCCGAACGCTTCACGCTTCCTTTAAGAAAGTGTTGGTTATCAAGTCGGCTGCGTGTTGAACTTTGGCGACACGAGTCCAAGTTTGGATGCGATTTTGATGTGTCTGGCAGCTTCCTTGGACTTGTAGAAATCACGGGCAGCTATTTTTTGCACTTGCCTGGTTGTTCTCGAGCTTATGAAATTGTAGGCAGGCCCCTGCCGCAGTCAGCAACACTAATGATGAGTTTGAGTATTCACACAATACCTAGTGGCGAGATGGCACATGATTTAGCTTGCTATTCTGAAAATGAAAACCCAAGTTTAACTGGGAACGTATTCTTGTCGTCTGCTTCGGTTTCGAGCATGCTCTATTCCCCGGGACAGTACGTCTGTGTATTTTGTGGTATTGATGGCGTGGAGCTCGGCAGGACTACACCTTCTTCTCGTTCGTTGCATCCAGAATGGACCAACTTGCATATACCCCTTTCCCATTCATGTGAAATACTTGTCAAGCTGATGTGCTCTTCCCCTGAGCTTTCAGATTCTGTCATCGGAATGGCCACACTATCTCGTTATTCATTGATATATTTACCGCGAAGCAAAGCTGAAGTGAAGCTGCGCATGCCCATCACGAGCGACATGCTCTCCAAGGAGACAGCTACAGATGTTGGAGCGTCTCATGTCCTTCGACAGGAGACGAACGAGATTGTCCTCATCTTGCGCATACAGCAAGTTTTGATACAGCTAGAACCTCAGGCTACCCACTCTTCTTCACCAGCTGCTACCGATCCAATCTCCACAACACGCTTGGTGGACGGCGTTTTGGAGTTTCAGAGCGTGGGAGTAGAATTAGCGCCCGCTGTTCTCTCTAGAATAGAGGCAGCCTGTTTTAAGAGGGTGCCATGCCATCTTAGATGCGATGGCTCGGTCGACTTGATCGTTGTGCCATTCAATGATCTTGCGGTGAAAATAGGACAGCACGTCGTTGGACCAGAGGGAGGGACCAACTTTGCTACAATTCTTGCGTGCTCAACTGGTTGTATCGACATGAGCACCTTCTGGTTTGTGCGCGACGTGACCAGACGGATGGAAGCAAACGTGCGGTACAGCCGACAGAGGGAACTTCGCGATAGTGCGCGATCTTACGCCTGTCGCCAAATCTTGGTTTGTTGCAACGACTGGGCATGTTCTCCACTACCAAATATGCTCGACGATGTGTTGCACGTGTTATCTCAGTGCTTGCCTGGATGCTCGATATACTTTCTCCTCCTGCAGCCAGGGGGCAGCAAATTAGTTTGCGTGGCGTGTACAACGCAGAGCAAAATGTGCGGGACCACTCTACTACGTGGCCAAGACGCCAGCTTTAACTACGTTGGTCCTGCCCGGAACAGATTTGCTGCCCCCCGAGGGTTTGGAATTCATGTCTCTACTTGCACTCTGAGTTGGCAGCTTCCATTTGCATGCGTGCCGTTGGAGAATGCGGGATCTATGCTTGGGATTTTAGGGGCAGATACGTTTGATTACGTCAGCAAATGTCGCGAAGGAGTCGATAGTCCTCCTGAAGATGGTGTCTTGCAGTTCCTCCAAGCAGTTGGTAGTATTGTTGGGCGGGCTGTGGATTTGCGGAGAAGATGCGATTCTCTGGCGATGCTACATATGACACGCTCTGATTTATCTTCATTCTGCTACTCGGCCCTGCTTTCAATTTCTCGTAATTTATTGTTAACAACTACGTGCGAATTGTGGGAATTGGACGCTGACAGGCAGCCACACGTTGTTTTACAAGCAGATAGTAAGGATGCGAATGCAGGTTCAAACGTCGTGGTGAATAGCCCAATCCATGTTATTGAAGGAATGGCGGACAGGCAACTGGACGATTTGCGGTCAATATCGCAGATGGACATTGGCAAATTACTTCAAGCTACTCTGTATGCCAGCCACCTAAAGCCTCATTTTGTTGGCAATGCCCCACGAAGGATGATTGTGCCCTTCGTTGGACTTGAAGATCACAAGATCCTTGTGGTGAATCTAAGATTCAACTCACAGCCACGTGCCATGGACGTTGCCTATGTTCTGACGGTCGCCAGGCGCATGCAAGGTGCGCTTCTTGTCAGCTGATTCAAGGTCGATCACAGCAGTATTGCGGACTCGTGTTATGGGCCGGGCCAAGTATTGCTACCGAGTCGCCATCTTCAGATTGCGCCCAGCGCCTGTCACGAACTGAATCCTATACGCGCCATCTATCTGACAGAAAGCATCATTTGAGCTGACGTTCCGAAT